CAAATATTATCTTGGAGGACATCATTGCACTTGGTTGACTATTTTTCTATTATCTTAGATGTAAATATTGCATGTTTCTTTCAGATAAAACACATTTTTGACTTGTGAATGAGTCAATGGAATTTCTTGCAATAATGAAAAATACTGTCAATCATGTCCGCCTGGCACAAACCACATGTTTTGGACAGCTGTGAAGTGACAGAATGTCCCACCATCATGGTTCTTATATTACCAGATTCCAGAGAGTCTCCCCTCTTCATATATGGCAGAATATGTCTTCTTCCAACTTGCTATGGTGAGATACATGTAAAAATTTAAGAATTTAGTAACACGGATTTGTTTTTTTCATTGATATAAAAATTAATATAAAATACAGGCACATAAAAGGACATGGAATGATGGCAAATCTGGTCTCCTATGTCCGAATTTCATGTTCATTGGTCAGTCTGAACTGGTAATAATGGCCGAGCCCTCCGCCTCAAACATTTGGTCGAGTGTCCCTTTTTTTCACAAATCCAAGGTGGCAACCCTACTCATAATGACAACATAATATTCACTAGGTATACCTTTGATCATGTTCACCATCTTATTTTAGCATGTTAGCATGCTGACATTTGCTAAAAGCAAAGTACAGCTCAGGCTAATGGGAATGAGGCTGTATTAGCAGGTATAGAGTGCTCCAGGGATGATGTTTTTCAAAAGGCCGATGCTAAAGTTAGCATCGCCCTGGTTCCCTCATCAAAAAGCCTATGTGGGTTTTTTCAATGGATTTTGGATTATTGCAGACAATCAGCTCAATGGTAGACAAAAGTTTGATACTAACGCATGTTGTTCAGCAAGATAATCTTCACAAATGAACACTGCTTTAATGATTTTTTAAGCCTAAATGCAATCGGCAGAGGTAAAAAGCTAACGTTAGGCTATAAACAGACGACACTGTGGTCCGACAATGAGGCTGTAAAGGCCGTGTTCAGCACAATGATGTTCTGTAGTCTCATTTAGCCACTTGATAGCAACCGTCTTTTTTACGACACATAGAAGCATCAAAATTCACGAGTGGGGTATTTACTGGCGTATTTTATGTCATAGAACAAAACGTGAAAGTCTCTTAAGCTTGCATTAACCACAGACCTTATTTCAGGCATCTAACCAAAAACCCATTTAAAAAGCCAATTGACTTCAAGACAAGGGAAGCAGGAGTGGAAAAATGCTCACTCATTTTCGGGTTTAGGACTCATTGCTGGGGCACTCTACTTGTTCATAAACCAAAGAATTGAACAAAGTGGTGGACAGACCCATGTTCCCATTCTTTCCAGTTGGTTTATTTCAAAGTTCCTAACTTTGTTTCATCCTTAATGAGGGTAGTTGTACCTTTGCTTATCACATTATTCATTGCTAGTTTCTTGTCATTTAATCTATCTTCAAGTTAAGTATCATTGTAAGTCACCACAGATAAAAGTGAATTTACTGGACATTTACAAAACCCAAAACCAGTGAAGTTGGCACGTTGTGTAAACCGTAAATAAAAACAGAATACAATGATTTGCAAATCCTTTTCAACCTATATTCAATTGAATACACTGCAAAGACAAGTTACTTAATGTTCGAACAGGTAAACTTTGTAATTTTTTGCAAATATTAGCTCATTTGGAATTTGATGCCTGCAACATGTTTCAAAAAAGCTGGCACAAGTGGCAAAAAAGACTGAGAAAGTTGAGGAATGCTCATCAAACACTTATTTGGAACATCCCACAGGTGAATGGGCTAATTGGGAACAGGTGGGTGCCATGATTGGGTATAAAAGCAGCTTCCCTGAAATGCTCAGTCATTCACAAACAAGGATGGGGCAAGGGGCACCACTTAGTGAACAAATGCGTGAGCTGATTGTCGAACAGTTTAAGAACAACATTCCTCAACGAGCTATTGCAAGAAATTTAGGGATTTCATCATCTACGGTCCGTAATATCGTCTAAAGGTTCAGAGAATCTGGAGAAATCACTGCATGTAAGCGACAAGGCCGAAAACCAACATTGAATGCCCGTGACCTTCGATCCCTCAGGCGGTACTGCATCAAAAACTGACATCAGTGTGTAAAGGACATCACCACATGGGCTCAGGAACACTTCAGAAAACCACTGTCAGTAACTACAGTTCGTCGCTACATCTGCAAGTGCAAGTTAAAACTCTACAATGCAAAGCGAAAGCCATTCATCAACAGCACCCAGAAACGCCGCCGGCTTCGCTGGGCCCGAGCTCATCTAAGATGGACTGATGCAAAGTGGAAAAGTGTTCTGTGGTCTGACGAGTCCACATTTCTAATTGTTTTTGGAAACTGTGGACGTCGTGTCCTCCGGACCAAAGAGGAAAAGAACCATCCGGACTGTTATAGGCGCAAAGTTCAAAAGCCAGCATCTGTGATGGTATGGGGGTGTATTAGTGCCCAAGGCATGGGCAACTTACACATATGTGAAGGCACCATTAATGCTGAAAGGTACATACAGGTTTTGGAGCAACATATGTTGCCATCCAAGCAACGTCTTTTTCATGGACGCCCCTGCTTATTTCAGCAAGACAATGCCAAGCCACATTCTGCACGTGTTACAACAGCATGGCTCCATAGTAAAAGAGTGCGGGTACTCGACTGGCCTGCCTGTAGTCCAGACCTGTCTCCCATTGAAAATGTGTGGCGCATTATGAAGCGTAAAATACGACAACGGAGACCCCGGACTGTTGAACAACTTAAGCTGTACATCAAGCAAGAATGGGAAAGAGTTCCACCTGAAAAGCTTCAAAAATTGGTCTCCTCAGTTCCCAAACGTTTACTGAGTGTCGTTAAAAGGAAAGGCGATGTAACACAGTGGTAAAAAGGCCCCTGTGCCAACATTTTTGCAATGTGTTGCTGCCTTTAAATTCTAAGTTAATGATTATTTGCAAAAAAAATATAAAGTTTCTCAGTTTGAACATTAAACATCTTGTCTTTGCAGTGTATTCAATTGAATATAAGTTGAAAAGGATTTGCAAATCATTGTATTCTGTTTTTATCTACGATTTACATAACGTGCCAACTTCACTGGTTTTGGGTTTTGTAAAAGGCACCAAGACATATTAAGTTCCTTGTGTCTGCTCATTTCAAGTGTCGACAGGTAAAATACTGCTGAAGGAAATCACTGCCCCCGGAGTGCTGAGTCACTGCATTATTAGCTTTTATGTAATAGTCACTCCCCCTCTTGTCATTTCAGCGACTGCGCCCCTGCCTTTGTAGCCCCACAGGGAAGAAGTGAGGAGACAGCGAGGAGACTGTGGGACATCAGCTGTGAACATCTCGGTATCGAATGGGACTGATTCAACTTTTAACCACCATCTATCTCAGTTCTCAAAAGGAGTCCTTATTCTTTCTTTATCATTCATTTCATTATGGTTTCAATGTTCTGTACTTTGAGTGTTTCTTACCTAATAAGCAGTCAGGTAATACTGTAAGAGGTACTCTCATGTGAAGTTGCTTTTTTGTGTAATAATGCAGTAATTACATTTTAATAACTTGAGTATTTTGGTGCTCAACGACAGCTGCTCAAACCAAAACCACTCGACTGTATTATCATGTAAACACAAATAACTTTTTGACTCTATATTTTTGTGACACAATGTGAATACAGTGTAGGCAAAAAAGCAACTTGATGTATTGTAACGCTGTAGGATACTGTGAAGGGTCAAGCCAGGGTAAATGACCAGCATCTTTATCTAATATTGTCTTTTTCTTTTTTATTCCTGCAGAATTTGCAGCTAAATTGCTTGACTTTTGTGCCAGCATTTATAAACAATTGCAGGGGTTCTTACAGTGTTTCCAGGTTGATAAAACAATTAGTAACCTATCTAAGATCAGCGTCAGTCTGAGCCACGATTACCGCTTGAATTGCATAAATGTATTTTGTGATAATTGTAGTCAGTGTAGGTTATTATAAGGAGGTTTTTCTATATTACCCGAGTCAGACTTAGAATCATGTCGTTGCAATACCTGCAGAGAACTTTTTGCCATTTGCATTGCCAAAAACTGCACATTCCTGGAGGAACTACAGTTTTACATTTATAAGGATCTCCTGAGTCATGTTTCCTTTTCAGCATTCACAGACAAGGTTGCCAAGAGTTTACATTCTGTGTTTTATACAAGTGAAACATGCCTTTTACTACACTTATATTCATGTTAAGAGTTGAATGTTTACATATGATGTAAATAAACGGAGATATTACTATAACGGTGCTCGTACCAAATCCTTGAAATTCAGTTTAAGATCAACAAAATGTCATCAGCAAAGTAAGAACTGGGTGGTTAGTACACAGAAACAGAAACAGGTCATCTCGAGTCATGAAATGTTGGAAGAAAACTGAATCAGAGCAAATGAGTCAGATCTGATCCAAAACAGTACAAAATACACACACATCCTAACGTCCAATAAAGTGGGTGCTGTACCAAAGAAACGTCTGGCAAAGTAGGAAACAAATAAGTCTGCACAACAAGCAGCTCCCTTTTAGAAGGATTTTAATGCAGAGTAACATTTCAAGCCTACAGCTCTTCCTGAGCTGAGAAAAGGTTGTAGGCTCGAAACATTTTTCAGATCTGATCCAATCCAATCGCCAGAAATAATAATGGCAATGTGCGTTTCTGCAAACCACAGATATGTTAAAAATTGTACAGTAACATGTAGCACATATGTTCTAACTTCACATTTCTTTTCATTTTACTAACACTGTGGTTAATATGTGGTTAGGTTAGGCACAAAAAACAGCTGTGGTTGGGATAAGATCATGTTTGGGCTTGAAAAATCCAGTTTTGGTGGAACAATCACAACTGAGGAAGCCATCAGTGTCTCTGTAAAGAATAAACACTTTTCGTGGCACTATCACCGCTGGAAAAAAAGCAACTGTTCGCTAACGAACATGCAACTTTGCTGGCTTAAATGCTGCTGGGATGCTCGCTAAAGTACAACCACTTAAGACCAGATGTGATACGTCCAAAACACACAAATGTCATGTATTTGTGATTTGCAGAAAAGTACAATGCCAACATTTTTAACTGATGACTGGGCTGTTTCATCACAGTGTTACTGTGGAAGGAAAAGTTCGACATTTTTAGTTTCTTGCCAAGAATTAAAATACTGACACCACATTCATATCATAGACTTTAAAAATAAGGTTCATATCTGTATGCTTAACATGAAGCTAATACTAGCAGCCGACTAACTTAGCTTAGCATAAAGACTGGAAACAAGAAAACAGCTAGCCTAGCTCTGTCCACAGTTAAGCAAAACTCTAGTTAGCCAGGCTAACTGTTTCCCTCATAATGCTAAGCTAAGTTAGCTCAGCGAAGCTAAGCTAGCAGAGAACTAAGTTAGTTCACTGCTAGGGTTAGCTTCATATGTAAGGGCTCAGGCCCACATGAGCAAGTGCAGGCAAGTGACTAAAGCCTGCCGAAGCTATAGTCGTGTTAAATGTTGGCAGCACCTGAAGTGACAGACACAGAAAGCTAGCTTGCTAGCAAATGTTGAGTACCTTGCTAGTAAATACCGCAAAATAAATGTTTTTAAACTTTTATTGGTACACTGTACATTGTCTTACGCTCCATGTCTGTCTCCTGACTGGGGCAATTTGCATTTGTCATGGCCAATATCAGGCAATATCAGCTGGTTAAACACGGCAACAATTACTATCGCCTCCACATAACTTGGCTATTAGTTGAGGCAGCAACTTCTCCACTCCAAGTTCAACAAAGTTGACCTCCCCACGATGTGAAGATGCAAAATGGTTTTTCCACCAGAGGCAAATATTTTATTTGTCCCTCTGCTCACACTAGAGATGTACCGATACCACCTTTTCCTTCCCGACACTGATACCAATCCCTGAACCTTAGGTATCTGCCGATACGAGTACCAATCTGATACCAGCGCGTAAAATAAAAATGGATGGGATATGAATTGATGTATGTCTCAACTCCTAAATCTCTATGTAAAATATTAAGAAATAAATACATAATAGTAAAATGAATGCCATAAAACTTTTTTTTATTATCATTATCCAGTGTTGACACAGATCAAGACACAGGTTAAAGTGCAGCCACACAATTTGGTAAAAAAGACATTTTAAAGGCTACAGTAGAATGCTTTTTAAACTCCGCTCCGTTTCCATTTTGTTTGCCTGTAGTGTGTGTATGCATAATGACACATACGCACACTACAGGCAAACCATTGCATGAGGCATTACGTGGTATCGGATTGGTCACAGGCTGTACTCGCCGATACCTGATACCGCATTTTGGGCAGTATCGGAGGTATTTCCGATACTGGTATTGTTATCGGTACAACTCTAGCTCACACTGAATACAAGTAAACAGGAGTTGAATATTCCCCAGTGTCAGTTTTGCTCATGTGTGACTGTACTCTAAATCAAGAGTGGTATCATTCTTCTCATTTAGCTAACTAACGTCAAGAAAGCAAAAAAGTGTATTCCCCCAAGTGTCAAACTTTTCCTTTCATTTCAAGACACTTGGCAGCATTAAGCTCAATAACCCATATTTCTGTATATTACATTTTTATTTATCATTTCATTTTGTTTTACAGGGGGATGGAGAAAACAATTACATTTCAAAATCATTTTACCATTTTTTCCAAAAGAAGTTTATTTCTTTTAAACTCACTAAGTATAAAGTGCGGCAGTGATGAGACAACAGTCCAAGTTAAGGAGGATTAGAGTGCAAGAATGTCTACACTGGCTTCTTTTTCATCTCTTGCCAATCAACACTCACTATCACAGGAAGATCCGTCAGTCTCAGTCGTCAGACTAGTGCAGCAGAGCGAAGCGAGACAAAGGGACAACACAGTGTCTCCCCTAAATAAAGATGACCTTGACGACGTCTTTAAAAGGCAGCTTCTGCAGCATGGGTGATTGTCATGTAAATTAATGTGGTGATGATACATTTGCACTGTTATCTTGTGGCCAGGGTGCAGGTTTGTGGGAAAAATAACAGACCAAAAAAAAAAAAAAAACCGCAAAAAAAAAATCTAACATCACAAGACAACCATATGGCAAAAGTTAAATCCCTTTTTTGACATTATTTGACTGATTATCAACATAAGTTAATGATGTGGATTTATATAGTTCAGACAGATATGGGTCAAGTCTCCCATGAGAACGGAGTGAAAAGCATGATTAAAATTAGCTATACTCAACAGGAGACACAGGATGTGGCTAGAAACTAGCCATCCAGAGAAAAAAACTCATGACTATTAGAGTTGAAATTCTGGATAATGACCTAAACTTGATCCATAACATAATCTGTAAGTGGGTCCCTTTTTGTATCCAACCTAAATTTTACTTGTAAATCTCTCTTAAATGCCCTAAAATGCTTCAAATTCTGTGTGACATTAATTTCCCTTACCAAAAGGGAACATACTCTGAATGCTGGCCATAAAATGTGCTATACAATATCAGTAAAACAGGTAAACAGCTTCATCGGGATTACAAAAACAAGATTTGACATTTTTCAGTTTCTTCAAGGATTGAACATGTACCGTTCTTGGCATCTCATTGCATTTACATTTAAATTCACACACAGAAACAATAAGGACATACAATGAAAGTAAATGTCAGAGGCCTTCCAGTCAGTTTAATATATTTTCCCTTTTGGTTGAGGTAGGAGATTAATCTTCGTCAAATACTGAGTTATAGATATGTTATGTTAGATATATTGTGTAAGAACGACTGGATCGGTTTACGTTGCAGTTAGCGATTTTGTTATGTAACAGTTGTGGTCGCTCCAGAGTAGTAACATTGTTCCCTCTCAAATAGTGCAGAGATGAGAGATAACAGCAAAATATTTCCGGAATGGAAATAAAGCACGGCGGTGATTTGTTAGGTTTACAGACAGGAAGGCTGCACAAACATAAAGAGAAAGACAACCTCAGGATTTCTGGATGTTGCCACTGAAATAGAGACTCAACAACAGGCTGAAAAACTGTGTTTCAGAGCTCGCTCTGATTAAAAGCTTCTTGTCCGTTTCACCGAACACACCCATTAACACAGACAGATGTGGTTGGAAGTGAGCGTCAAACAGTTACGTAACAGAGTCCTGGAGTATAAATGCACATCAGCGCAGCTAGGTGAGAATTTTAGGGGATTTTCTGGATTTTTTGAAGTGGGGTTGTTTAAGCTACTTACCCGTTATCAGTGTATTACCTACAGTAGATTGCAGTGGGCACACCCCCAGTTTGGAGAAGCAGGCAGGATTGCTGCCATAGAGGCAAAAAGTAATGCACTGCTGTGGACTGAGGGCAGCAGCAAATGTATTTTAGATTTAAAATAATCTACATCAGTTTAAGTGTATGCTGTATTTAAAACATTTTCACTCTTTGACCTTGCCGTCAAACAGCCCTTTCAGACAGGGAGCTGTGGCCGTTATCTATGCTATGACTCCAATGACAAAAACAGTAATCTCTGCTCACAGAACACACAACCTACTGCGGCATCGATTGGTTTGTTTGTTTGTGTTGTTGTGTGACTTTTGTTTGAAACGGTTAGTTCAGATTCACCAAAGTCACACAACAACACAAAAAAACTAAACAATCGAGGCAGCGATAGATCAACAGCTCCCGTGTTCTGCGGGTAATGATGTCAGGAAACTTTATTGGCCATCATTTTTGACAAACTGTGACACAGTTTGAACGTCCAGTTCACGTGCTATCCCCTTGACTAAAAGTATCACAAGGTACTGATCTCTCACTATTTTACCTGTAATTAGTTGCTATTTAGTGAGCTGTTAGCTGCTCTCCACTGTGCTCCGACAGGGTAGGAGCTTGATAGGCGTGTGCTTATTCGGCGATTACTGCTGGTAACACTATCCCACGCTACTGTGTAAACATGGTGGCTCAAAATTAAGCTGCTTACTAGTCAAAGCAACCCAGGGAGACAACAGAGGTCGGGCACAATGTTTACGCAGCAATGCCAGCTTGGGTTGGCACGGTGTAACCAGCTGTAATCACCGAATGTGTGCTAGCTATCCTCTAACTTCCACCTGACCCTAGTGGTAGGCAATACAGAGCAGCGGCAACTAGGCAACTTGTGGCATGAATACCTTATTAGCTTTGTTGGGCTACAGCATAGTGCTAATGCTACTACTTAACTGAGGAGCAACAAAATTAACAGTTAGACTGACATATGTAACCAGTAAAAATATTCTTGGAGGTTACTTGGAGTAACTCAGGGATGCACAATATTGGAATTTTTGCCGATATATAATAATTTATTTGTCTAATAACCAATACCAATATTAATATATCCACTTTTTTCACAAGTGAACTGTAGTGATCATCAAGTCTCTTCTGTAGTGGAACTAACATCCTATAATGCATACATACTCTTGTCATGATAGAGACATGAAATACAATACTTTTCAGTGTATGGAATAGTCATTCATTGTGCAAAATAAGAAAAAGCATGCTGGCCGGTTCATTTTAAAGCTGACATTGTCTGATGCCAATGATGTGCCGATAATATCGTGCATCCCTAGAGTAACTGTTAACCGTTGACATCCCTATCTATGGGGTAAAGTTACTAATTTTGTCATAGGAGTCTGGTGGCTTTTAAGAAAACAAATACAAGTTTGACTTTCAGTTCAGTTCCCCATCAGGAAGAGCTGTCTGACAGCAAGGTAAAGCAGTGAAAATATTCTAAATATTGCATAGAATTAAACTGTTATTGATATTTTTAGGTGGCTAAAATATGTTTTGCTGCTGCCCATGTCCACAGCAGGACATTGCTTAGGCTCTGTGGTGGCACTGTGCCTGTTTCTCCGGACTGGGAGCATGCCGACCGCCACCTACTGTAGTAATAGACTGACTATGGATAAGTACCTCATACAACCCCACTTCAAAATTCATTAACGATTCAAAGCACAGACACTAAAACCATTTTGAATCCTGGGCCTCGCATTAGCCCCTTAGCACACACTGTTGAGTGACAGCATGGGACTGTATGGCGTGAAGTGTGCTGTATTATCAACCATTACAATTATCTGAAGGTGTGGACCAAACAACATGTAACATGTGCAACAGCTGTTCTCCTGTTACACACAATAATGCAGTCATAATATGTGCAACCTTTCAAATCATTTCCCACACACTCCCAGTTCTGTGTTACATTAGAATTCCTGGATCCTTTTAATCACACTTCATTTGCAGCTCATTTGTTTTCAAGTGCTGTACGTGTGATCCCTTGTTATGCCGACTGCACCTTTACCTGGCATTAGGTCGGCCCTGCCGCTGCTGAGATGACTTGTGGTGTTCAGTGAGCCACTGGCTGCAGATATTCTGCATCACTGAGTCCTGTGCTCCCTCGGCGGCCTGAAGGACGTCCTGGACCAACGGGCCCGCTCGGCTCGGCTCCAGCTTCACCGCCAGCAGGTACGCTGGTCGCAGTTTGCTGCACAGCAGGTAGGCTTTGATCTGCAGACAGAGGGATGATGTCATTAGAATTAGAGGATGAGATCACTTTCTGAATGTCTATAAACACAAATTTCAGACGTGAAGAGGATCATTTTGCTGGTTTGACCTTCCTGGACATTTTAGTGCATGGGGTGCTAATAAAATATAAAAAAATAGGAAAACAAAATAATATCATTGATTAGAGGGAAAATTAGGAAGCCGAGTGAAGGATGACTTCCACAAGAAGAATAGCCAGCACTCCACAAAGTGACCTGAGAGCAGGGTAACTGTGATTTCTATGTTTATAAAAAAGCAGCCTCAGGGAAGAAAAGCATTGATAGTGACAGGCAGAGGAGAATATAATGCCATGCAGTCAGAGTTACCTTGCTTTCTGTGCTCTTTGCCTCCAGAATGAGACTTTCCAGCTCCTTGGCCTAAATCAGATAAAGGACAACAAAAGTCACGGGCATGATTTCTTATTATCATACACTCAAGGGTGAATTCACAAAGGATGGAATGCAGCCGCTGATTGGACAATGAATTGTGCATAGCTTGAAACCGCTATCTGCCCCGTCTCAGGGTCTGATTCACTAAAGATACTGCAGCGCAAACACGCTCATTAAATTTTGCTGCTGAATGCAGCTTGCCATTTGTTGCAATTACCATTGTGGCAACGTATAAATGATACAGAGACAGAAAGAACACTGAAATGTTAGGACTGTGAGCTCAAAACAGTCCTCCAAACTTGAGGCAAGGAAATTAAACGTGACAAAGAGAAACCCTCTTTAGGATTTAAAGGTCTAAGTGTAGGATTTAATGGCATCTAGCAGTCAAGTTGCAGGTCTGAAACTTCTCCCGTGTGCTGAGTGTCTAGAAGAACTACGGTGGCCGACGCAAAAATGTGAAAAACAGAGTGTTTGTTTTGTCCGTTCTGGGCTACTGTAGAAAAAACATGGCTGACTCTGTGGAAGAGGACCTGCTCCATATGTTAATATAGGAGAGCTCTGTGTAATTTTAGAGTCTGATCTCAATTTTAAAGCTCATTTTAATTCATTAACCAAAGCTACATTTATCATTTACGCAATACAGCTAAGGTACGACCTCTACAGAACCAACGAGATGCTGAGAAGCTTGTTCATGCTTTTGTTTCCAGTCGACACTGTCCTACCTAAAACTGCCATTGCAAAATTAAAGACCATTCAGAATGCAGCTACCAGGGTTTTAACAAAATCTAAAATGAGAGATCATACAGTATAAGTTTAGGTTACTTGTGTAACCCCTGTTCTCTGAATAGCATGAGTGAGCGTCTAACCTCGTTCCCGATGTGAGACATGAAACAAATGCTATGAAAGAGAACTCCCTTTATACGTAACCTACACAGACACCCAGTATCTTTAACAATGGATTTTAAAGCCTTTCTATTGGTTTTTAAGGCTCTAAATGGCCTCACCCCTTCTTATATCATAGACCCTCTATCACCTTATGTCCCTCCATAAAGCCTGAGATCCTCCACAGCTGCTCTTTCAACAGTACCTAATGTCACTACAAAAACCTCTGGGGGTGCTTCTTTTAGCTACTATGCCCCAAAAATATGGAGCACCCTGCCTTAAAATATTAGACTTCAGTATTTTTTTTCCTTAATTAATTAATTCTTTGTTTTTTCTAATTTCTCCTGTTGCATAATTGTATGGTTTTATCGCTTTGCTGTGTTTGTATCTGCCGCTGAATTGTAAAGTATTTGTGCTGCATTCTGTACATGAATGACGTTACATGAATAAAGTTCATTCATTCACTCATTTAATGGCTCATTCTAAGGTAATCCAACCCCAATTGTTATTTTCAGATGATAATACACTAATGAAAACATAGCTATGAATATTATGTACCATTTCTGCCAATAGATGCCCCTAAATTCAAAACAGTGGACCTTTAATATCCCAGTCTGCTGCCATGATCACGGTAAAGTCTGAGCAGGACACCCTTATAAATGGGCTTCAGTTACTACCTACTGTCTGAGGATGCTCATAATTTCACTGTTACTGCGTGTGGCTGTTAGCGCTGATCTTTCTGAAATTAACGTTTTTTGCAATGGGACTTATTTGTATACAAAAGGGGAATTTTGTGCCACATGTATTCACGTAACTAAATTTAAATACTTGCAAACAGGTCAAGAGCACAGAAACGCCATTTGCTTGGCAACGCAGTTAGGGCTTTGAGAACTACACGGTTTCTTTCAGTCTTATTTGTGCTGGTTGAGCAATCGCAAAAGCCGTGCAATCCTTTTGTGAATTTTCTCCTTGAACCTCATCCTCTTTTGTTTTCTGTCACTCACATCAGCTGGTCCCTTATCTGCAATGGAGATGCAGCTGAGGATGAGAGCGTCGCAGTCGTTTTTGGTGGCGGTGCCCGATTCACTGACACATTTCAGCAGCTGCCGTACAGCTCCATACTGCCTCTGTCGAACGAGTCTCTGGCCGGCCAGCACGTAGACCGCCTGAGCCTCCAGCTGGAAGTCCTGAGGCAGGAAGACAAGGAGACAGAGAAGACAACACTTAAACTTTTAAATGGAAAACCACTGACAAGTAAACATGTTAAATTTTACTTGACTATCTTCAATTTGTCAGATTTTATTTGCTGCTGTATTTTTTGTACAATAAGTTAATCAGTTAATAAAGCTTACTCTTTATGCTTTCGTCTCTCTAAACCAAGATTATAAAACTAAATTCCTCTGCTGTTACAGCTTGACAGGTGATATGTCTTTGAACTGCTTTATCTGTTGTGAGGATGTGTCAAAACAGATTTGAATGATTTGCATAAACCGTTGCGAGAAATTTTGTCCTTGGGCAAAGAGGAACTGTTGTGTAAAGGAAACATGGTGGCTTATGCAATATGTCAGCAGAGGTATGCACTCTTAAAGCCCCTACAAGGAACTTTCATTTTGAGTTGATTTTGGCGTCCCTGTGGACAAAAGCGGTAGTGTTTTGCCGGAATGGAGCCTACATTTCCCATGAGCTCTAGCGCGTATTGTCGTAAAGACGCTTACCTGGCTCGCGCATGTGAGATGGGAAAACTTTGCCCCCGCTCCTGTCGGGGATCCCAGCTCACCTCTGCCACGCCCCAGCTCCACCTCTCCAACGTAAGCGCCACTGCCGCCGGGGTAAGCGCAGCTGTCAGCTGGTAAGGCTGAAGGCCTGTTTGGCGACCACTTCCACGGCTTCTTGGACTGAGTATGGAGCGGTGCCTCGCCTCTTTATTTCTCGGCACTCGCTGGACCCTGTCGACACCTGGCTGGTACCTGTCGTCGGCCCGGATGAGGTGTTCCAGCCCCTCGGCTCCTGCTCTCCTCATCCCCACTGGCGTGGGGTTAATCTGCGCAACCTGCAGCCTCTGTTTGGTGTTTGTCCCCGGACAGCTAACGCCGTGGACCCGCCGGCTCCTGCCAGGATTGGGCTGGTAAATGATAGATCGCTAGCGAACAAAACCTTTATCCTGAAGGATTTCCTGACTTCCCAAGGATTGGGTTTTCTCTGTGTGACTGAGACGTGGCTGACTGTTGGTGAGTCCAGTGCTTTCACAGAACTTTTACCTGATGATTGCTGCTACAGTATTTTAACTCCCCGCGGACGTCGGGTCGAGGAGGAGGAATAGCGACTATTTATAAGAGTCACTATAAATGTAAGCAGCTAAGTAAGATGACGTGTGCCGTCTGAGTGCCGTAAATCATTTCGTCCTGGAAGCGACCTGCGGCAGACCCGGACACAGTTTCCTAAAGGCATGGATATACACTATACAGAAATAGCTTATCTTCACACCGATGGTCTCATTTGCTGTTGTAGGTCACGCACAGACATCAGCAGAAACGAGAGACTTTTGCATATCCAGTTAAAAGTTCCTTGTAGCGGCTTTAAATTNTGGTCTCATTTGCTGTTGTAGGTCACGCACAGACATCAGCAGAAACGAGAGACTTTTGCATATCCAGTTAAAAGTTCCTTGTAGCGGCTTTAAATTATACAGGAGAACACATATTTGACCTCATACATAACATACCTGTATGACTCTATATGCAATGCCAAATCCCTCTTCTATGTTTTTGCCTCCGAGCATCACCTGCAGAAATACACATTAAAGACATGTTACAGGTTTTATAAAAAACATTAGACAGAATGTTCTTATATCCACAATATACATGAAACATAAACACCAATTCTAATGTGGCCTTTAAAATTTAACATTAATTATACATATGTTTTAGATGAGTTCAACTTAAACAAATAACAATTATCATGTTATTTGCTATTTTTTAATAAAGCTTTCAGGTAAAAACATCTCACTTAAAGGCCTCAAAATATATGTAAATTACATTAATTAAAATTACATTCATGTGTTCAAAGTGGCTTAAACTGCATGTATTCAAACATGGTGGGAGCACGAGCTAGATATCCAACACTGGGACTGTATCCACTTTAAACAAGTACTTTGAGACACACATAACTCCTACATCTCTACTTCAAGTTTTAACACATGAAAAGTGTCAACAGTAAGGTAGTGGGCTATTTTAACAAACCTAAGACCCTATCTTTTACACTCGCTGCAAACAGTGAACAGTGCAGCGCAATAGTGACTGCTAGTTTCATACAAATGCAGTTGTCATTTTTAGGACCCATGTTGTGAAAGTACCAAATGTACTCACGCCCATCTGCGCACCCATGGGTGTGTAGGTCATAAAACGAGGTGTGGTCAGGTGCATTGTTGGTGTATTGCTTTTTTAAGGCAGCACACAGCAGTTGATCAGTTGACAAACAAAAACCTGGTCTAAAGTCAAACTGACACTAATTTTCTGCTGTTTAAGGGATGCGTCAGAGAGTAAGACATACGAACATAGGCGGGCCAACAACACATGCACTCTGATTATACACACAGGGATGCATGGTTGGGTTGTGGGTAGCTTAAGTAATATGTCATTAATGAAAAAATATTGAATACATTCTCTAAAATGTGAACATAGCAGAGATCAGAGCAGAGCTGCAGTCTGACTCCCCATTAAGAGAGACACTGTGCACATTTACACACGAGAAACTGTGCAACTTCATTGATTATTTTTAAAGCTAAAAGTTAAGTTCTGCGCCTCACTTTACGCTAGCAAAAGTGGAGCTGGACACGCCCTAAACACACTTGTGCCATGCACTTTAGACCATCGGCTATAGATCTTTTAAATGGGGCCCTTTGTGGATTATAGATTTTTAAGTACAGCAAGTGCTGAGATAATGACAACAGGAACCTCACCTTGCAGGCAACCTCAATTTTTGTTGGGCTTCCTCCAAACAGTGTAGGCAGTGAGCTGGATCCAGGAGACTTGGAGGAAGGTGCACTGGTTTGTGGCGCTTTGGAGGAGGTTGTGGTCTCACAGCGGTGGAGGAAACGGGTCACCTCTAACTGAAGCTCAATTGTGTTCATGTGCCTAATAAAAATAAGGCAGGAGAGGTTTTTACTTTTAAAAAACAAAAACAAAAATTCCAGTGGTAAAATAAAGCCACCAAAATTTAATTACACTTTCTCTCTGCTTAATCAGTCCTGATGAAGAGGGAAAACTGTAGATTTATCTCCACCATGTTAACTGAAATAAAGATAGATTGAATAACCTGGACACGTCACTGGATGACATCATCTTCCTGAATGTGTTGACCTGAGACCTTCTCCTCCCAGAGCCCCGGCCTTGCTGCTCCTGCAGGTATGTCCTCAAGTGCTCTTTGGCTCTGACCAACCAGCGCTGTACAAGGTCAAAGTTTAAGGTCAAGAGAGGGGTCAACTTTCTCATATGAGCAGGGAGATTTTCTTTCAAGTCTTGCCAACTGCATCTCTGGAGAAAAGCGATGTACCTGTTGTTCTCCCAGCTGTAGGTATGAACTGGCTCCATGAGTGAAGAATCGGATACACGTCATGGCCGCACGCACATGATCCTGTCCAGGTACACAGCATTTCACACATTACAAACAAAGTATTATTTCATTATCTGACATCATCACCACAACATCGCTCTGATGCAAAATTATAAAATTGGGGGTCAGGACTCCTTCAAGGGGTCACAAGATAAATCCAATGGGTTATGACATAATTATTGTGGTAGGAAAAATAAAAAAAAACACACCACATTTTGTATTTATTAAACTTTTCTCTCATCTTTTCCCTGCAAAATATTAAAGTTTTACCTCTTAGGGCCTCAGGCATTGCTTCATATTTAAGGTTCTGGGTAGCACTGGTTTAAACTGTAATCAGTAGTCACATGGTACAGGTCTTAACCACAAGGCCTAACAGCGCCTTTCAGGGCATTCATATTGTAATCTCAAGGCCTGTCTGAATGGGGAGAAAAGGTCTAATGTCTTTTAAGTGTGTTAATGGTCAGGTGGCTAATGCAAATGGTAGTCCAACACTAGTTTTGAGGATATTGAGCCCCCCAGTCGTGCCAAGATTTTATTAAATACTTCTGCCTCATTAATGCAGTGTATTATGTAATATATCCTGTCCTACCTGTTGTTACTGTTGTCATTTAATGTTCCAGGCATATTTTGACAGCAAGTAGACTAGTGCCTCCTTTACGCAATTTGGTGTCAGTAATCCATCAGTGCATCAAGTTTCACCATAGAATACTGCAGTAGTATCAGTTATGTGTAGGTAGTGTAGTAGATTTACGAGTTTATATTTTATAGAATTAATTTTAAAGCAGCTACAAAACTTTTTATACATTAGCTGCTATTCCACACTACATAGTTTAAGCCCTGATTTTCCACTCGCTGACAGTTTTTGGAGCTCCCTGTCCTGAAAAAAAGCAACAAATCAGAGGCAAATTGGCTCCATGCTCGAAAATTCAGTAATCAAACTCTATGTGTGAACTGACCCTTCGCTAAGCCCCGTCCCTTTGTGACAGTCCGACAAGCTGTCGGATTAAGCATGAAAAATGAAAGAGTGATTCCAGAGAGAAGCAGACAGAGGGGTCTACAGTGTGTGTTTGAAGGATATATCCAGGATGTCAAACTGACTCAGCAGCAACAACAGGTTAAAAAGACAAAGATAGTTAGAAGCTAAGCCGAGCTATAGGCTATAGATCACAGTGTAAAAGTGAACCACCACATCACTGCTGATCGCCACACAAGACAATGAATATAAAGGGAAACTTTGCTGATGTTGAACCAGCTGTGTGGCATGGTCCCCGTGCTACTGACAGCACCCAGACCTACGCCAATGGACAGGCCGGGATCTCCGATGCTCATCAGCGCACACTGCGATGACACACAGCTGGTTTAATATCAGCAAAGTTCCCCTGCTTCCCTTCACTGGTTCCTGTACAGCAGGGTCGGTCTTTGTTTCGCTGTTATAATCATTAAAAAGCAAAAGCAGCATGTGTATACATTCAGTAGGCTATATCTTCAGTAGCTAGCTAGCTAATCCTACACTTTTCAGGGTTTGATTTTGGTTTTGGATCAATGAAGAAACATATATCTTTTTCCAACCTCTCCAGGTAACAAATATCATTAATACACGACGTGCCCCAGGCACAACATTTAGCTCCAAATCCACAAAACCAGCCTGAAAATGAAGGAAATCGGAAACGACTGCATTAGAGTCAATGGAGCACAGCTGAGTTGCTGGGCGGCCCGGTGCTATGCTATGATTGGCCAGTCTGCGTCCAGGGGCGGGACTTAACAAAGGATCAATTACAACTAATCTTACTGAAAATAAAGATAGAAAAAAAACATCAAAGACTCTAACCATCATAAACTGCTGGAGCTGGTAGAGAGTGTTGTAGTATCCTCGTCGCTGCAGGAACTGGCAGGAGGCAATGAGGTATCGGCCGCATGTCTCCAGACCAGGATCAAGTTTTTCCATTATGCCCTGCAGCATGCCAAGACGCCCGCGCTCCAGATTGGGCTGCAACACGCCCTCTATAAAAACCTCATCTGGGCACTCCTGAGCAAAAATAAAGCAGAAAAACATGCCTGTCTTGTAATATATGTCAATTTTTTCTTCTTGGAGGAAGACAGTGAGTTTATATTCAGAGGATAACATACTCAATTTCTGTACTTGAGGTACTTGTTCAACTTTTTGAATGAAATTAAATAATGAAATAAAATAAAACACACTGAATGTTGAATTAACAAACATGCTTAAACTTCCCCTCAAGTCTCACCTTGTTCAGCAGGTACGTCAGGGCCTCCGTCATGTAGTCATGACGCATATAGAAGCTGATTAGAGCCAGGTGAGTGCCGTATGTGTTCAGGTAGTAGAGACACTCTTGGTGGAGGTTGCTGCTCTGTGTCTGACCCTCTGGTCGATCCACAGGACCGGCCTCACACAGGGCACCCTCCAGCTCCCGCAGGGACGCCAAGATGTCCTCGCCCTGAGACTGACACAGACACAGGAACACACAGTCAGCACATACATCACACAACACACATTTTTGATTCCACTTAAAACTGGTGGAAACAAGGGCGGGTATGCTAGCTAGCACCAAGGTTGCAAAAATCTGAATGGAACTGGTTCAAAATCCAGAGCTAATTAGGTGGAAAGGATAATACTGTACTGTACTCTCTCATTTGAAACGCCAGTGTAATCCATGCCAAAAGAAGCCACACATGCCAGAAATTACTAGCGTCCTCTCGATATGACGGAGCCAAGACCCCCTGTCACCAAACAAGATGTGGGAGATTCCTGTGTACCAGAGCTGAGGCTGAAAGAGGTCTCGCACATTCTGTATGATTCCAGTGTGTGCTCACCAGAGTGACTTCACCTCACCTCTGCTGTGCTGTGCTATCACAAAATATACTACAGAAATATACTGCAGAAATGTTTTGAGGAGGGACGTGAATTTTGTATTGCTGCACATGAAAAGCAAGTGCAGTGTCCACCTCAGATTTTATATGAGACAGATTCACCAGTTTTTTCTTGATTAGGTTTTAGTTGTGATGCATGTATGTGTCACTGAGCTACCTACTTATGTTTGCAGTTGGCGTCACTGTAAAAAATCCCCACCTACTATTCCAAGTTAAAGTATTTGGTAAGTTTTCTTTGCAAAGACCAGTCAGATTAGTTTGAATGATAGCTGCATTAAAAGGGATTAGGCCTGCGTTACAATGTCAATTTGGGTACACAGTAGCATTGACAATGACGGTGAAACATCTAACGGGTTTACAGTGTTGCTCTCATGCAGGATTAATGACAGTAATTACAAAAGGAGAGCCTGATGCAAGGCAGAGCATGTTTTCTGCTGCTGTGTGTAATGACAGTACGAGACAGTATGCACTAAGCAAAGATGCTGGCTGGATAAATAATAAGACATGTTTTCCTACTGGACTCAGAGTGGGCTGTACAGTTGTCTCCAGGTGCTGGACAACCTCCTGCAGCAGCAAGGGGCCCAGGTTGAGCTGGTTGCGGTCCAGTGGAGCCTTCATGAAGCGGGCAAACTTCTCCCTCGCTCCTGAGAGGTTCCCCGCCTTTAGAGATGCTATCCCCCACGCCTGCCACACGCCACCAGGGTCCAGGCCACTCTTGGTAGACACCTAGCAGAGCAGCCAAACAACCAGAGACAATGAGAACAGCCATGGATTTAACTTTGTGGGAGTTTGTATTTAAGGGTTTTAGACAACAAGTTCTCTGCGACATGATGGTCTGAGGCTTTTTAAAACTGATTTATGGGCCAATATTTAGAATATTTTGGCATGAGCAACTTTGAATCGTCTTAATGGCAGCAGAAAATCAATCCTATCAAAATCAATTCTATAAAAAATAAACTGTAAAACTGCTGCACCACTTACACATAACTAACCCTACTGCAGTATTCTATGGTAATACTTTATAAACTGATGAACTCCTGATATCAAACTGCCTCAAGGAGACACTGGTCTACCTGCTATCAAAATATGACTGGGAAATTAGCAACAGATGTTAACAACAAAGGTGAGGTGTGCAAAATGTGGGACACTGGGTTTTAGAATCACGGTTACACAAGCCAAACAAAAATCTTGGCACGTACTGTACAACAGATAAGATTATGAAACACAACCTGTGTGGGAGGGGTGTTTATTGCATAACACTGGGCACATGATTGAAGGGAGCATTAGAGGCATATCTTAAACTAGAATTACAGTGTCATTCGTGCCTGGTGTGCCTCCACCAACCAGTCAATATGCAGATTACATCTGTGTTGGCCGAGACTTATTATACTTACATAATCATGTAAGTAGTAAATATCATATAAATGCATTTTGTGGTGAAATGGAAGTTGTCACCATATTGACATGAAGGATTTGAGTGAATAATGTCCACTGAAAATGTGCTGTCTTCATTCAGAGAACGTTTTTACAGAGGACTGATAGACTTTTGTCACCTGAAGGTCAATATTTGAAAAATTAATGAGCTGTGGCGGACTGCAAGAGGAACAGGACAGAATACAAAGTTGTAGCCATGGCAGTAGACAATGCTTTAAATATGGATGCTGCTGCAAAGAAGCTACGTATTCTAAAACATGGGTGCTTCACACACATCTTCAACCTGGCAGCCTGACCAAATGTCTCCTCTCCTGTTTCTGATTTATGTAGGGCTGGCACAAAAAAGACACGAGTAGTACCCAGCGCCTGACCTTGAGTTTTCCAGGCAGTTAAAGACGCAGCATGTGTACGGCCTCTAATTTCCAGGGCTGGCACCTGCGGTTATTCCACAGGCTAGTTAACAACATGTCGGACAGGAAATCCAAAGTGTGGGATCATTTTGAGAAGGTGAAGGACGAACCCAAGGTGATATGTAAACTCATCTTCATTGGTCGACTACAAACATGACGTATCATCTGCAACATGGAAGTAGCTACATGCCCATTAGCCCACAGCGTCATTAACAGGCGGCTCGCTCAGTGTGTGACGTGCACTTGTAGATAAAATATAGGCCTATATTAATGAAGGGTCATTAGTATGGTTTTGTATTTCTCTGTAATGTAGCACAGTGTTAACAATGTTACTGATACTATTCTTTCTCACACCTTCAACTCAAACCATTGTGTTGCCCCACCCAAAATATATATATATAATTAAATTAATATGGTAAACATGCAGGCGACTAGTCGACTAACGGCCCTAAATGACGACTATTGGTGGACTAGGAAAATTCTTAAATGGGGGCAGCTCTAGATTTATGGTGTTGTGTAATGGCCAGGAAAGTGTTTCTGCAGAACATTATGATGTCACAGTAAGCTGACCTTTGACCTTTTTTGGATATAAAATGTCATCACTTCATCTTTCTATCCTATTAGACATTTGTGTGAAAGTTTGGAATAATTAGTGCATGAATTTGAGTTATGGCCACAAATGTGTTTTGTGAGGTCACAGCGACCTTTGACTACCAGAATCTAATCTGTTCATCCTTCAGTCCAAGTTTGCACAACATTTGCAGAAATTCCCTTGAGGCATTCTGAGAAATCACGGTCACAAGAATGAGACGGACCTACGGTCAGACCCGAAAACATAACACCTCCACCACAGCTGTCTCACACGTAGAGACACGACAATAAGACAAAGAGAAACTGCCTCACCTCCACTGCCAGCTGGTAGTGCTCTGCTTCCAAGAGCTGGTTGCGGAGACGTGTCACAGCAGCAGTCTCCAGGATGTCATCCAGAGATGGAATATATTTGTAATTGGCCTTCACTAGGATTTTGAGCACGTCTACTTTGCTGATGTAACTGTGGAAACAGAGAATAAATAAATGTAGAAACAAAACTGTGACAAATGTGAAAGTGTGTTTATTTGTGTGAGTCACATAAAGGACGACACACAGACAGTCAGAGACCTTCCACAGCTGTAACAGTGCATGAGATGACTACGCTTGTAGGGACATGTAGGCACATGCAAGGAGTATCAGTGAGTTTAGATCTGTTGGAAGTCATTTTAACAGACTTCCTATGGTTGACAACTCATCTGACCACCATGACCGCTGGCCTAAAAAAACTGGCTCATCTAGGAGTTGAGAGCAAACAACTTAAGCTGCAATAATAAATATGTTTTAGATTAACAATAATTCACTGACTAATCACATGCACACAATGTGCCTGTGCCAAAATGTTTTTTGACCTCACTCAGAAAAAGACAAAATTCCTACTAAGCTGTTCACATGGCTAATTAAAATATACTGTATATTCCACTAACAATTCTGTTTACATGCAGCCGTGCTTATTCAGATTAAAGTGCCCTAACGTGTCACTGATCATGTCAAATACAGTTAAGGGGAACAGCTGGAGCATTTTGCGTCTTTACATCAAAATCCGAACTTTACAAAGGTTTCAACCAGTTGCAGACTTGTTCGACCATGTGAACACAGCCTCCCTCTTTCATTCCTTCAACCACCTTCTTGAAATGGTCGACGCTGGGATATTTACGCATATCCAAAAAGCTGTTGATATCCGAGTCTTTCATAATCTTTAAAAGTAGGTGTGTTTCTTCTTCTTCCGATCAGAAATGTGGGCTTTTCTTTTGAGGACGCAGCTCTACACCAGCCTTGCAAACTGTTGGTTTGTGTACAATGCATAGAGCTGACCATAAACATGCAAGAGGCCATGTGTCGCCAACTGTGGTAAAATCAGACACATATTCTGAATTCGCTGTATACATGTCTAAAGAATGCTCCTAGATAACAATACGAATAATACCAGCGTATCTCATATCTTAATCGGAACTGCTACTGTACAATCAGCAATGGTTAGTATTCAAAATATTCAAAGAGAATATGCCGTTCACAAACACAAGGAATTAGTCAAATGTCTCACATAGTGTTCTTAACAGAAAAAAAATTCATCCAGATGACCTAGAGTTACCTCTTACCTGTCACACAAGGCCAGATCCTGGTTGCGGCCAACCTTAACAAACATCAGCTTAGCGCTAAAGAGCAGCTGCCGCATGATGTCAGTGAGGAGGCAGGCGTCCACCTCTGGATTGTTCAGCTTACGTGACAGAGAGCGGCAGTGGCTGATGAGCTGATGACCACAGGCTTTCTGGTCGCTGTGCAGAGACATGATCGCCACACAGAGGTACGCACTGGGAGCCTTGGGGTTTCAGCAGAGGGCCATAATTAGTCTTACTGTACTCACCAGGTTAGTTCTACTACAAGATGACTGAGTGACAGAAAGGTGCTCTGTCAGCTATCTAAAACTGCACTCAAACATGAAATTTATTTACTGTCTAAAACAAGTGACTAGAAACTATGAAAGACCTAAAAATGACCTGTGTAATGTTGAACATTAAAATCCAGACCTGTTCATAGTAGAACTCAGTCCGCAGCAGCTGATTCTCTGCAGAGTTTGTGCTGAGTTGAATCTGTCGTTGGACCACTTCAGGTAGATGCAGCATCCCATCAAGAGCTTCCTCTGTGACCACAGGGCTTCCAGCCACTGCACAAAGACAGAGAGAGAGAGAGACGGGGGGGAAGCTCGTAATATCTGGCGAACATTTTTAAATCACCCAAACCATTTGGCTGAAAAGTGAGTTTGTCTTATCATACTATATTCAGTCTTTGGACACATGGGACTACTGTTTATTTCCAAATTCTTTAAGATATCTTTGGGGGCTTTCCACCTTTATTCGATAGGACAGTCATAGTGTGAAAGAAAGGGGGGTGGGTGACATGCAGCAAAGGGCCACGGGTTGGAACCACATTTGTACATAGGGCACTTACTCTACCACTTGAGCTAGTTAGCTGTCAAAATGCATGTTATTATATCTAAAACACATAGTCCCACGTGCCCAAAGACTCTATATCGTATGATAAGAAAATGGCTGTTATCTCAGAAACTACGAGAGGCACAATCAAGTAACTGGCATCTATGATCTCATAACAATGAATCTCAAAGTCATGCTCACATATGCAGTGAAAAAACACATACAGAAGACCAATTAACACAATGCAGCATTTTCCTTAACTGCTCAAAAATCCTGACTTTGACGATTGACAGAAGTCAGATTTTTTTCATGTAATCTAAAAATTGCAAAGTTGTACTGTTAGATACTTGCCCAAAGTATATCTGTATCAGATTGCAAGACTTTAGACCGATTTAAAGAAATGTTTTTCCTTATCATAATAAAAATGACATTTGGACACAAATGTTTACCTTCAGCTGGTTCCAGCTCATCGTCAGAACTGCGCATGGAAAAAAGAAAACAGCACAAATACATTTTAAAACACAGTTACATGTTTGAATTTAAATTAATCTACATCCTCTCCGACGGATTCCCCCCAGGTTTTATTCTGTCGTATTGTTTTTCAGGTCAGACACTAGAAAATTAACTTAAAAGTGCTATAAGGTCCAGTTTCCAATACACTTGGATTTATTCTAGGAAAGTGCCGAAAAACAGTGACTGACAACTACCTGTCAAATGCTCTGAATGTACCCAAAAAGTTGTAAAATGAAACCAGCTTTCATAATGTTTTTGTTTTTGTGTCCTTTCTAGATTATGCCACTAGGATACTTAAGACTCCAGAAAACTGTGGTCTGTGAGGGGCACATTTAAAAGCATTTTGTTTAAGGTTTGCTGCACTTAAATCTGCAGGGTCTTACTCTGGGTGAAAGTAGGCGTAGCACTGGTCACAGACTCTGACTTCTTCTCCCGGGCAGCCCTCAACAGGCATCTTATGCTCTGAACACGCGTGACAAACCAGACGGCCACATCTCCGACAGTGATGCCGTCTGTTGAACTGAAAAAGCAAAAGTCAATGTTAGTCTCAGAGTTTCCTTTAGGAAGGTAAGATATTTTTATTTGTCCCTATGGGGGAATTTGTTTTAGACCTTTATATATAAAATCTTTTTATTTCATGACCACTCACCATGGTGAACCTCTCACGCTGGCAGACCATGCACATGTGCTGCTTAGTGTCAGGGACCCAGTCTTTGCGGGCAGGGGGTTGATCTGGAGGCTGGAACTTGGCAGGCGAGCGGCGTTTTTTCCCTGCAGAGATTCGATCCCTCTCCCTGTCCGTGCTGTTTGAGGAGGAGGTGTGTGTGGGGGTGCTGCCTGCAATTAACCACAAAACAGGAAACAATCAGAAAAATCAAGAGGAACGTTAAGTTTCATCCCAGGAACAGTAGTTGTACACAACACTAAATTCACACCAGAAACACCATAGAAAAAGAACTTTATTCACATTTTTAAAACCAATATCTATATTTCCTTGGGCAAGAACGTGTAAACTCCAGCAGTGGTGTTGTGTGGCTGATTATACAAGCAGGGTAATCTCTTACAACTGGTAAAAATGTCTGACCTGTAGATGATGCTGGGGATTCAATTCGAACGGATGAAACCGAGCAGCCATCTTGAGCAGGACACTGCGTCAGCATATCCTGGAGGCTGATCACAGAGTCTGAAAAACAAGTTGCTATGGTCATTGACTGCTAAAATATAAGCTTCAAAATTGTACAACAAAGTACTTCAGGAAGCACAAATACATTCTGTGTTTTAAACCACCACCGATTTTAAGCCAAAAATAATTTATTTGACAAAATGTTTTGTATTCACACATGGTGCCTTACGGTACGGTTGGGCTAGTTTTTTTCAAACTCCAATAGCAGACACATTTCAATCACCCTAACCCACTCTTTGCAAACGTTTCATTTCATGTGTCGTGACTGTCACCGTACAACGTGCACTCATCACTGACCGGATCGAGATTTCTCTCTTGGGGCGTATGAGAAGTCGAGGGCCTTGGAGGCATAGTCTGCCAGAAGCTTATCGATGTCCTCGGCACCGAAGCCAGCCTCCTGACCAACCAGGAGGCTCCTGAGAGTTCGCACCGCCACGTCTGCCCAGTCCACCTTTAGGTTCATCAGCAGCTGCTCGAGCATCAGCAGGGGCTCTGACAGCAGAGGGAAATACTCCTGCCTGGCTGCTGGAGGCAAAGTCAGCAACACCTGGAGGATAAAACACATCAACTGATATTAACACAACCTGAAGACATGGAGCAATTCAGCAACTGTACCACTATCTACAACACATATAAGTCAGGTAGAACACTTAAGTTGTCATTTGCTCATTAGTAGGAGAATTTGGAATACAGGGGCTACGTGCATAAAACTGTGTGTGCATACAAAGACAGAAATGTGCACGTGCATGCCTTTCGTCAGCCATGTGTAAGCCTGATTGTGTGTCATAAACCTCAATCATTGTGGAGCTAGGCACACGTGCACATGCCTCATTTCCACACCCATAGTTTGCTATAACTGGATATGGAAACGCCCTTAAACATTGCTTTGCATATCAATAGATACTTGTGCCTGCTCTACTCCTCATTAGATCTGTCAATGAGAAGAACAGTAAAGAACAAAAGCAGTTTAACCGACTGTGTTACATCAATAAGATTCTCCAATGGTGCCAGAGCAGCTGTCATTACGCATGGCTGTGGATATTTGCAGCATCCCTACCATTAATTCATCACATTTCTGCAAACCCTTATTGCAGTAAAATCTCACTTATCATTAGAATTAAACAACAAAAGGATAATAAGTGATTCATTCATAGTGCTCATGTTGAAACTGACTTTAGAAAGTGCTTCACAGTTCAGTATCAAATTAAAGAATCATTAATGGTTGATTGACATTTTAAAGAACAATGTTTTATTATAAGGCTATATCTCTCACCTTATATTTAATATTTACCTTCATGTCACCTGCAGCCATCTCAGTTTAAACCATGGTTACACCTGCTCTGACGTCTGTGTGAGGTGTGCACATTCTAACCGCACATTCTTTCTTTACAAATCCCAGTTTACGTGTGGGGGAAATGTGTATACATAGTATTTGTGCACATGTATGATAAATAAATCTGACCCCAGGTCTTTCAAACTGACCAGAAGATAATACTCAATAACAAAAAAACTCCCAGCTGGTGAAATGGTAGAGCTCATCCGTTCCTGCGCAATTATAAAATTTTCAGAACTTTAAAGTTGCAGAACTACAAACCAAGGTTTAGTTGCATGCAAGACTGGGCATGTAACTGCGCTGCAAAACAGGATTTGTTCATTACCCCTAAAGGGAAATGACTGTGAGTGACAGTGCAAACATGTATCACATTATCTGTCCTTTGAATAAACTCCTGTGGTTACAATACCACTTCAAATGTATACATACTTTAAATCAGAGCAATCTGATGACATTGTTGATGAAATTTGATTTGTCTGAAGTATAGCTGTTAGGTGTGTTCCAGCACACAGCTGAGGAGGTGCTGCAGGTATCACTGATTAATACTGTAAAAAATTACATCAGTGCACATTCACAAACCTTGGAGCCCAGATGGAGGGCATGGATGTGCCGTCTACGTGCTGGAGACACCTGCCTCTGGAAATGCAGAGTGAGGTAGTCGGCCAGGAAGTGACAGGCAGCCAATCCGGGGCGGCGGTCCAGAGCTCGCTCACAAACGTCTAGGCCGCCCACAAAGTCTGAGAGGCCTTCAAGTAACTAAAAACAAAAAAAAGGTAAGCAAGAGACAAATGGACAAAGGTAATTAAGACACAGAGAGGGAAACTTTGACAGCAATAACTGAGAAAATTATAGCTGAAGACGGTAAATGTTGAAGACCTTACAAACTGTCTCCTCTAGATACAGTGATACAACTCTACAAGGATGATTCGTGTTTGTGTTGTAAGCATCCACCTGTTCAGTTAATTACAAGCCACGATCAAATTCATGTTCCTACAAAATTGTGACACTGTTTCATACAGCCTAAAATAGATTTCTATGTAAAGTTAACCAGACATTAAGTGGTCTTGACCTGGAACGCCTCGTCTGCCTGTCCTTTCTCCAGCAGATGAAGCAGATGCTCAGTCTGCAGCTGCAGTCTCAGCTGGTCGGATACAGGATAAAGCTCAACCCACTGTGCACACAGAGCAAACTCCTGCAAAAAAAATAAAAGATGAATCATACTATATTATATGAATGAATAAATATGTGTTTTAGAGATTAAGGTGTGTGTTCAGTTCTGCGTTCCTATTTGACATCCTTTACAGAGTGTGTGATAGTTTATTAAGTAAACGCTTGCAGGTGCGTTGCACGTACTTTTGCCTCCACCATCGTCAATAACATGGACTGAGAGTTTGTCTTAGACTGAGTCCTGAGCTCCTGCCAAGTAGTCCACGGCAACGGAGGCTGTAGATTCAACATCTGGGACAGGAGAAGAATATAATTCTTGGCACGTCACAAAGGAAATGTCACATTATGTCACAGAAGAACGCAGCGCACAGTCATTCAAAACTATGTCAACAGGTGTGACGGACTGACACTAAAAAATATGTAGGGCATGTAGATATCAGATTAAAAGTTCACCCAGGTGCAAAACAATGACTTAGGTCAACACTGAATGAATACTTCTCCCACCACTGTACATTTTTCTGGACATTAAGAATAAATAACTTAGTCTGAAATGTACCCAGTGATAGATGTCCAGTTCTTTCTTCTTCAGCTCTAACTCTGTTCTCAGCGACGTCTCTGTGCTGGCGTCGTTGAGGCAGAACTCGAGCAGCTCCAGGCAGGCGGGCAGAGGCCAGCGCTCCAGAGCCTGGAGGGCAACGCGCGCTCGCAGGTTAGCATCCTGTACACGAAACAGCTGACCGATTCCTTCATCTCCATCTGAACATTAAAAAACAAGACAAACAACATTTTAATTATATTCAGATCAACTGCAAAGCAACTACTGCTTTTGCTTTATAGAGTAATTCACATAAAAAACACTGAAAGAAGGTTTCCAAAATGATAAGTGATAGCAAAAAGAAAAACGAGAGGAGATTCTCATGTGCAGAAAAGTAAAAAAAAATATATATAATCTGCTCAATAAATTCAAAAATACAAGGGACACAGAAAAAGTATGGACTTGCAGCTGCTCTGGACAGCAGTACATTTCACGTTAGGTGCAGCTTTTGTCCAAGACTCTATTGAAAAAAAGATTTAGATCTCTCAGGTGATAATCGTGAAAAGCGCTTTTACACTACATATCACATTCACCCAGTCACACACACATTCATACACTGGTGGCCAAGGCTACCGTACACGGTGCCATCTGCTACTCAGTAACCATTCACAAGCACTTACACACTGATTGCACAGCCATCTGGAGCACTTTGGGGTGTTCAGTATCTTGCCAGCCAAAGGATACTAGTATGACATGCAGAGTGGAGGAGCCAGGAATCAAACCCCTGATCTTCAGATTAGTGGATGACCTGCTCTACTCTGAGCTACAGTCGCCTCGTGAAAATGCACATTACATTTTTCAGATAACACACTGCAATGTCAATTTGCTAGTTTTGTCCAAAAACCCAAGATCAATTTACTGCATGTATTAACGTACAGAGATATTCAGGACATTTTATTGGGGACGTTGACTTTTATCTGAGAATATATGGGCCTAAAGCTGAAGGAAGTTCTTTGTTGCCCCAGTGTACGTAGGCTAGAGTAGTATTTATTGGTTTAGTCTTATACATGAGCCTGTTGACCAGACTGATCTTACTTGGAATATAATGTGTAAGCAACAGTAGCCCATTTTCATCAAAAAATACTATAAATCTATATGCCATGATGATGTCATTCTTTATATAGCCTCCCTATTAACTGTTTTTACGCTGGAATTTCTCACATTTGTTCAGGACACTGAAGAAAAAGGCAGCAGCATCAATTTATCTCTGACAGAAAACCTGTATAAAACACAGAAAATGAGTAAATCTGCAGATATTAGGTTAAGGTTAAGAAAGTGTCAAAACTTTTTTGACCAAAAATAATGTCACCTGAGTATTTATTTGGTTGGATGTCATATTAAAAAGGAGCACCACCTGTAACCTAAGCTGTCCCATGAGCTTCAGTGTGATTCCTTTTGTTAAAATGCCTTTACAATCACTTCTCACCTTCTAATGCAGCACAGGCAAGCAGGCGGTCTCTCAGCGCCCCCTCCTGGCTGCAGCCTTGCCCGTACAGCTCCAGCAGACTGAGGGCTCGGCCCAGGTCTCTGGAGGACAGAGCCTTCTGGAAGGCCTCAGCAGCCACAGCCTGGGCAGCTTCTTCTTGAGGCCCAGACAGCAGGAGGCTGACGAGTGGTTTCCCACAAACAACCGCTCCGAGTCCAGCTGAACCTTCCTCGCCCTCACGTAACAGGGTGTCCAGTAACGGTTCAGCCATGGTGTGAATGTACGCCCGGAGAATAGGGAACTCCTTCAGGAGGTTATCTGCTTCCAGAGAAATCTGCTCTGCGTCTAGGACGACTTCTTTACGGTTGCTGCGGAAATAGCCGGACCATCCGGAGGACTGTGTCCGAGCAGTTTCTCCTTTGCAGGCGCTCAGACACGCCAGTGTGGCCAGTAAAGGAGAGCGAGACTTTAGGAAAGACAGAGCTGATGGTGTGAGGAGAAAAGACGAAGGGGAAGAGGAAGAAGAAGAGGAGGAGGATGACTGAGATGGTGGCGAGGTGGAGAGGTTGGTGGGTGTAGTGGAGGGGTCGTCCACTGAGGCCTCGGACTCAGAGCTCGCATCAGACTGAGGCTCTGTGATTCCCAGAGTTGACATGTGCTCCTGAGCGTGCTGTTGGAGCAGGACGGACAAATTGGAAACACCGAACACTCCGTCATCTTTCTTGGCCTGACCGGAGTCTTCGTCATCACCTGGACAGGAAGTCCACACAGGCAGAGTCTCACAGCATCGCTGGACAATCACCTGCTGCAC